TAAATATATACATACATATAGGTTTATGTTTTGTTTGTTTTTTGTCATTGTCAATACATTCATCATGAATCTTTTGAGATTATTATGAATGAAATATTCAGTATTTTTGGACACTTACACACCACAAACAAAATTTTATGAATCAAACGTACTTGTAAATTATATCTAAAATACGTGTATACCACAGCAATGCACACTTAAAAATAGAACTCAGAAGTACGCATTATTTATCATTTTTCGAATGTAATTCTTCAGATACTTCAAATCTTAAATACATACAATTGTGTTTAAGCATCCAAAAAAAAAACATACATATATATATAGATGTGTATATTTATTCATTTTATTTTGTATAAGAATTGCGAGACGATGAAATTTTTCCAACTTACAAACTAGCGTATCTATCTCTTCAATATCAAATCTCGAGGATAGATTTTTCTTAGTTGAAATTTTTAGAAGTTGACAAAAAATAAAATTTATTTGTTTACATTTTTCGAATAATGAAAGACTACGAAAGGTGAACGCCCACCATTATTGCTGCTAATAATGTTTCTATGATTATGTTGTAGATTTTATTAAATAAATTTTTTTTTTAACTACTACTATATGCAGACTGATATATAAATAATTGTGAGAGTTTTCCTTTTGTATTAAACTTAAAACGTAATAATTCTTTTAAACAAATTTTTTATTTATTTTAGTTTTAATATCAAAAGTGAATTTGAAATTAGTTCAGGCAATAAATTTACCTAATAAATGAATGACTTAGTGTTTTAATGAGCAAATGTTATCATTAGGTACTATCCTGATGATAACTATGGAATATAGTTGAAATATCGGTTCAAATACAATCTTTTAACAAAGCATAAAAATTTTTAAAAAACGTATTATTTAACTATTGACCAACTAGTGAATGACAATAAATATGTATATCTAATGTATATAGGGATCCAGTTGACCCGAGTAAATAAACAAAAGCTTGTTGCAATTGAGTTCCAGTTGATGCCAATTGAGATTCAAAGCTTTCAAATATGTGCTGGGTGTCCTATTTCTTCTGCTAGACATAGAATACAACTCACTTGTTGGTTCTATACAAACTTCAATGTTCGGAGCTTTTATCTTATTCACTTCCACTTTAGATTTATTTGTAATGGGACTATGAATTACTGAAATTTATATTCCTATTTCTATTAAAAATAATTTAAACTTAATCAGTAAAGAAATGGTACTAACACTAGTGCTCCATACTGTTCGAACCTTAGTTCAAGTAAATTCAAATTTGAACAATTGAATTGAAGATTTTAAATATTTAAAGATTATCGAACTATTTCATGATATTCGAGCTCCTCAAAAATATTTGACCTATTCAAAAATATATGAGCTAATCAAAAATATTCGAGCTAATCAAAAATATTCGAGCTATTCAGTAATATTCACACTACTCAAAGATATTGGACCTCATCAAAAGTATGTGAACACTCAAAATAATTCGAGCTCATAGAAATATGCGAACCATTCGAAAATAATTGAGCTACTCGAAGTCGTTTTAGCTACTTGTAGATATTGGATCTAATCGGAAATATTAGAGCTAATCAAAGATATTTAATCTATTCGAAAATATACGAACTAGTCAAAGATATCGAGGCTAATAAAATATATATTCAAACTACTCAAATATATTCGATCTCATCGAAAATATGTGAGTCACTCAAAGATATTCGAGCTACTCGAGAACATTTCACTAACTTGAAGATATTGGAACTAATTGAAAATATTTGAATTAATCAAAGATATTTAGTTTAATCGAAATATACGAACGAATTGAAAATATTTGAGCTACTCAAAAATATACGAACTAATCGAAGATATTGAAGATAATCGAAAATATTCGAACTGCTCAAAGACATTACAGCTTTTCGAAGACAATGGATCTAATCAAAATTAGTCACTCTGCACGAAGATATTCCTATTGCTGGAAGATATTGTAGCTACGCGAAGATATTGTAGCTACTCAAAGATATAGTAGCTACTCCAAATTATTCGAACTACTCGTGGATTTTCGAGTTACTCGAATTCATTCTTGTAAATATCAAATTACATGAATTCATTTTAACTACTCGTTGATTTTCGACTTACTAGAATATTATTATTTAATATTATTATTTATTTTTATTTATTATCATTATATTTTATTTATTATATTTTTCAAGCTACCGAAAGATATTCGAACAACTCAAATATATTAGAGCTCCTCGAAGATTTTGTTCGCTATTGTACTACTCAATACAAAAGGCGTCTTAACCTGAACTTTAAGTTTTATAAATGATATTATTATATTATTAAAAAATTATTTTACAATACAGTGTGTATTATTGTTACGGTTTTATTATTTTCATGTTATTGGTATAGTCCTATTAATTGGAATTGGAGATAGAGTAAGAAAATTATAAGATTATTTAAGAAACATAATATGTTAGGTAATAGCAAAAACAGTTTATAATTAAAATTGTAACAAAATTCTTTTTTCGCTATTAGTTATTTTAAATATTTATCGATATAAATATGCACACATATATAGTATATATACTGAACGATACAATCAGAACAAACAACAGATAATATTACCCTCTATTACATTTGAATTTATTAACAGTTGTGTTTAGATATTATATACACGTATATAGATCTAGTATTTCAAATTGTTTAAAATGTAGCAAGGGTGTGATAACTTGGTCACGTAGCTTAGGCTATTCTTTATTACAAATATAAAACATTTCCGAATAATCCAAATACAATATTAAAAACAGAAACAAAAGTAAAAACAGGCTACCTTACATGGGTTGATGAACCTATTAAGGCCAATCTTCGACCTTTATAGGAAGCGTGTCAGAGGATCGAACAATACTATTTGTTCATGTTCTGTTCTATTTTTTTATTCGCTTGGTTAGTTTGTCGTTAGCAATATATTTCAATAAACTGTTTCTTTCTTCTATTTTTCTATCCTTACAATCTTAAATGAACCAGTGCTTCCCTAACTTTCCAATGTGCCTAAAATAAATCCATAGAATGTGGCGCCCTTCTAATCACGAAAATCTCTCAACTTATTTCAAGTCAGCCTATTAGAAATCAATCAAATTATCTCAGCGGTATTGGAAGCCATTAAATATTACACCACCTTTGTCAGTCCCAAACTTCGACTTTGCTTACTTTTTGCACTTCATTCTAGCTCGCAGACAATTAAAACATAATAATCTACTAAAAATAAACAAACCCTGATTTTGATCACTCTTCAATAATCAGACCGCCTTCTGATTGGTTCAGCCTGATTCTAATTACTAAAATATAAATTTGACCCTGTCTCTTTAATAGCTTATAATTTATTCCTTAGAGAATATTTTGGTTGCTTAATGTCTCGCACCTACTGAATTATTCCATTTACCGCAAACAAAAAGTACACTGTATATATCTAGTTAAATAGTTTATGAATATAGCACAAAGGTGCTGTGATAAAAGCACTACAAAAAAACCTTAGAAGTAACTATATAAGAACTCAAATACAGCGTAGTAAATGTTGTATAAAATGTATTAATTTAATATAAACAAATCATGTTATGGGCATTTACGTAGGAATTTGTCCAGAATGCCATTAGTATAAGCGTGCTCGACAATTGAAATGGTTCCTAGGTTTCTATATAATTTGATTGTCATAAATAAATTTTATATTTATACTTAATAATATACATATTGTTACGAATTTGCCTTTTTCAATTCGTTCCCGATTCTCCCGGTCGTCTCACTGGATTGTCAATAATTCCACAAATGCCAAAAATAACAGTGTCAGTTTAGTTGTTAACAACTCCGTGCATCCACGCTGTTATCTCGTACAAAATAACTGAAACTATAGCTCGAACTCAAATCTACGAACTGAAACTGCCAACTAGCTGACCCAACTTCTATTTCTGAAATAATATCTCTGACATTAGTTTTCTTTATTCCTGTCAGTTTTTCCGAGTTGCTACGATTTGCTACATTGTCTCAAACTAAATTTGTCAAAATATATTATAAAAAACTTATTATATTATAAAAAACTTTTTATATTAAAAAAATTTATTGGTTGCAGAGCACAGGCGAAACCGCAGGGCGGACTAGCTTGCCAATGAATGCACTCTGCTTCGTTCATTTGTCTGATAATGATATTCGACTTATAACGACCAAACTAACAAACAAGCTAGACACATCTAAGTACAGCTAAACCATTTTGACCAGATGAACCCTCCTGTCTGATCTGAAGATTGACCTGGTTCAATCTGAACCTGAAATGTTTCAGGCAGCTGCTTCAACTAAAGCGTAACTAGCTCAGCCCTACGGTATCTGATAGGTTACTGCTTGCTAAAAAGACATTCTGTGAAATTGGGTTTACCTCATAATGACTTTTGTCAAAGTTTTAACTCTGCAGATGAATTGGACACTTTCCTCCACCTCATATTTGAGAATCTATTGCTGTCTAGGAAGAAAGTTCAAATAGTCGATGATGGAGCTGTCATTCTGCAAATTGAGAAAGTTGGCAAAGTTGGTCAGGTTCACTTGTACTTGAATAGTGAATTATGCCTTGCGGCATTGTTCGTAGCTTGAGTACTGTGTTCCTCATGGAGGAGGACTCTTATTCATTATACTCTTATTCATTATACCATTATTTATATTTGCATTACATAGGCTTTGGGCAAAAGAACGGCATACTGTTGTTGATTTATATTCACTTTATACAAGTTTGTAGAAAGCTTGAAGTAGTTAAGTAACTTACAATAGATAAGTAGTCAGTTTTCATAGTTTCACTTTTAAGCCATATTGGAATTGCCGCTTCAACCTAACCTAACTTAACGCAATTTTATAATATTCTATTCTAGACTTCACAATATCTTTATACTACTTAAGGAAAATGAAAATAATGTTTAATAATTAAGCTTAAAATATTTATTATTAATTTAATTTTTTGCACTGACCTTAATTTCATCAGTAGGAAGTTCCTTTTTTATTGTCACTGAATTTGTTGCTAAATTCGTTGCATCTGAAGTTGTAGCAACTGTTGTTGGCGGTGTAATACTAAGTGGTGAGGTCTTCGTCGACATTATTTCTTAGTTTTTTAAAGAACTTTGGTGGATTAATTTTTATAACTAAAAAATATTAATATTTCAATATTAAATAAATCAAATTCAACTTTTTTTTTTTGATTTTTAATTAATAAGATATTTTTATATTAAAAGCATGTGGTTTGTCATTCGATTTTTTTTGAATATATATTAAAAGTTTATTTGTTTTACATATATTAAAAATTATAGTTATTATTTTTAATTTGTAAATATAATTTTTATTTTTTCTTTTATTTTCCCTAACAGTTCTCTTTTTTTATATAGACATACTTTTATTTACGTATATTATAATTCAAATACCTTATCTTAGTATTATAGTATTTATATATAATGTTATATATGTTATATATATTATATATATATATATAGAATATAATATAATAATATATACTATATATATTATAGTATAGTATATAACTTTTATTTATTTTATATAATATATATTTATAAAAAAATAAGTAGTAATAAGATTATTAAAAAATTAAATTAATCAATAGCAATAGCAAAAGCCTTAGCTCATGAACTTTTATAATTAGCAATTATTTCAGCAATTGTCAATAATTATTAATCAATTATTATTAATTAAAAATTAATTAACTAATTATTATAAATTTTGAGTTCATTAAGAGCTTATACACAGTTAACTTGTAACAAAAAAGTTGTTAATTGATAGTATTGGTTAAATCTATAAATTTTTTATGATTTAAAAAAAAGTTTTTAAACTAATTATTAAAACAAAATTAAAGTCATATGATAAGTTTAGTTACTTGGTGTTATGAAGATACATTATCTTGTATTCATAAGTTATTAAATATTAAAATAATTAAATTAATTTATTAATCAACTAACAATTAATTAATCAACTATTAATTAAATAAATAAAATATTTAATTAAAAGAAAAATAATTGTTTTATATATTTTGTTACAAATAATTTCAAAAATATTTTTAAATTTAAAAAAAAAAATTATCTAAAGTATACAACCGTTTACATTAGATACAATTAAAAATCTCTCGGTAGAAAACAAAAATTCTAACTTCTCTTTCCATGCAGTCAAAAAATTTTGTTAATATTTTCTGTATATATTTGCATAATATATATATGTATATAAATGTATATTTATATATGTTATATATATAAAAGTATATATATTCGATTGGCGATACTTCAAAATGTTTGTCGTCAGCGTATTCCACACTCGCTCAACGTTTCATTAGTGTTTTGTTGAAATTTAATACTTTTTAGTTGAAATGTTACCAAGTATCAAATGACCTCAAAATACGAAAAATGTCCAAAATGACAAAACGACATTATATATTATACATAAATGTAAAATATATATATTCCAAAAAAAAAGAAATTTAACAAAAACATATCAAATTGAAACAAAAATAGAAATCTCATAACGCGATACCGATGTTGGGAAATAAAAGAAGCCGAATATTTGGATAAACTGATATTCTCACATCCAAAAATGTTACTTTTAAATTTTTTTTTTTTTAGATATAAAGATTTTTTTATTAAATACAATATATAAATTAGTACGTTGACAAACAGATAAGTATTACAGTTAATAAATATGTAAAGAAAAAAGCTATTCCATACATATCTGAGAATAAACTATTCTTCTTAACTCGAACTAATTCGAATAAAACTATATTTTACTAAAATATATATTACAAAAGTACATTTGAATGAGACTCTTTTCACTACAGTCAGTAAAAGACTCAAAAATACATCTAATAAAAATACATCCATACATCTAAAAAGCACACTATCCATCTAACAAAAACCTTACAAGACCAAAGATTAAAGCTCCATTGTCACGGCTCTTACGAGTACTGATCCAGAGAATGGATATTATGGTAATAAAAATGAAGATTTAAAAAATGAAGATTCAGTGAATGAATTAGTAAACGAAGACACCGAGTTACTCCTATATATATAGATACGACAACTTGTATCACCCTATTAAGCTTAAACATAAGCCTCCTAGCCAATGTAATATAATTATTAGCCAATAATTTTTATAGATTTCTAGTTAAATAACAATTAATAACTTTTATAAATTACTAATTAAATAATAGAAGTAATTGTTTATAAGTATATGCAAAAGACTTGTAAAATATATTGAATTTGGCAACAAACAAGTAAAGGAACGATATTAAGAAAACCACAAAAAAGAAAACGACTTTAAGTTAGTCATACATTAAAAAACCTATAAAAACATAGCCAGAACCACCCTGAAATTGAATCCACAAAACAACGAGAGTGACTTAAAAACAGCTAGACGTGTATGATTCTAAATAAGTTGTAGAAGTATGACCTGATATAGCTGGAATTAGTGATTGTTACCCAAAATCTAGTTCGCTCAAAACCCAACTATACAAAAGATAGTGACACTGCAGAAGCTGAATCTTAAACTGATACTGAATCCCAAAAATAGTATAGAAGTAAAAATATAAAAAAACGCAGTAGGGAATATTATAAACCATAAGCTGAAGCTTAGGCTGAAGCTGAGGCTGGAACCTAAACGTATAGTACGCAACTTGTCTAATTTGAGATTGTGAGTTATATTGTTTTTAAAACTAAATTGCTTACGTTTTCATAGCTTTTGTTGGTATCCATAAAAAAGTTGTTTTCTATTATTTAGTTTTTCAATTTCAATATTATTTAATAAAAAGTATTTACTATAAATAATAGTAAACTAAGTTTCTTCTTGATAAAATACGTTCTAATAAGGCCTAAATATTTTAAACTTATTTAATATATTCTTTTTTACTTGGTTTTGGTTTCTTAGCTTCAGTATAAGCTTAAGAATGAGCTTTGAAATTATTATGATTGCAGACTATTTTTTCATCTGATGACTTTAAAAACATTTCTTTCGCTTATTGAATATACAGTCTCTAAAAATGTGTAATATTGTTCATTGTTTCAGCTTCGATATCAGCTTTAGATTTGGATCCAAAATTATATTAAAATTGATTCAAAAATTTGATTTGATTTTTCGCTTATGAAGAAGTATGAAGACTCTAAACCCGTATCTTACATTGGCATATTAACTTTTTTAATATGTTTATATTATATCTTCTTAGTTTTTCAGTTTCGGTTTCAGCTTAATATCAACTTCGAAATCAGCTTTAGATTCAGCTTAGATTATATTAATTACGAACTAAATTCATTCTTCAAAAAATTGATTTTTCACTTATGAAGAAATATGAAGACTTACATTGACATATTAACTTTTTTAATATGTTAACATCTTCTTAATTTTTCAGTTTCAATATCAGCTTAATATCAGGTTCGATATCAGCTTCGATATCAGCTTTAGATTTAGCTTCAACTAGGTTCTTTTATCTGTTGGCTTAAAAAAATTGATTTTTTGTTTATTGAATATGAAGATTATATATTACATTCATGTATTAACTTTTCTAATATGCTTATAGTCGTATTATATCTTCTTGGTTTTTCAATTTCGGTATCAGCTTAAGATTCAGCTTCCACAATATAAAAATTGTGGACTTATCTTATACTCTTATACAAAGACTTATTTGTGACAAATTTGCATTTGTGGACTTGAAAAAAATTTTTTTTGTGCTTATTGAATTAGAAGTCTATAAAACTGTATTCTGTATAATGATTCAATATCACGTTTAAGGTTTAATGAGATAACGCATGTTATACATATTCGTCAGCTTATATGCAGCAGAAGTATTTGACTTTAATTGCATCTTACGCTTAAGTCTCAGCTTTATTATAATTACAGCGTAAAGTATCTGATACCATAGAAATCGTAAGCATATGCAACCGTGACTTTAATTTCTTTATAACAGATCTCACACACTATAATCATGTAAGTGAGTTTTATTTATTATTTTAGCAAATAAATAAGGTTATAATGAAATATGAAACAATAAAAGAACTTAATACGATGTTAGTCAATAATTAGAAAAATAATATAAATATAAATGTAAATATTGGTTCTCATTTTGAACATATTCTTTATTAAAATAATATATAGATTAATATAACTAACTCTGTATTCATTCCCACTATACCTCTTTATATATTAATTAAATATTTATGTTTGATTATTAAATACAATTTAATACTTTGTAATATATTTATATATAATGTATATAACTGAATTCATTCCCACTACACCTCTTTATATATTAATTAATTATTTATATTTAATTATAAACTATCAAATTTTATTTTATGCTTTGTAATATATTTATATATAATGTATATAACTAACTCTATATTCATTCCCACTACACCTGTTTATATATCAACTAAATATAAATAATTATTAAATTTTATTTATGTATTATAGTATATTTAATTAATATAATTTAAATAATTTTCGTGTACATTTTTAGTTATTCAGTTGATTTTTTTTCAATTTTTATATTTTATTTATAAATTGTTTTTAAATTGTTTAATGTTTTTTTATATTTTTGTTGTTTTTTTTGTTTGCTTTAAATTTAGATATATAAACAATCGTTAATTTAAGTAAAAATAAAAGTATTTATTTCATTTACACATCTTTCATTCAATTATTTTTTTGTTTACATATTTATTGCTTAAGTATTTATATTTTTTAGGGTAATTTATTATCAATATTTCAAAGTAAGTATTTTTTTAGTTTATATGAAAAATGAAATTCTTTAAATATTTTTTTTTTCATAAAAAATTGTTATATTTTTTTAATTTATTTACGTTCGTTTATTCATCTAAAAACCTTTCCAATAACACAATGCTTTTGTTTATGTTTTGTTAATTTTTTTTTTTAAATATTTATATTTTATTGTTTCAAAACTTAATGTAAATATTTTTAAAACTTTATATATTAAACTATATACTTTTATAATTTATACTAAAAATAGTTTTGTTGATAATTTTTTGCATCATTCATTTTCTTTGTTGTTATTTTTTTTTCAATCTATTAAATAATTTATTTATTCCATTTTTCTTAAAAAAAAAAAAATATTTCACCTTTACAAAATTTAAAA